TCAGAAGCCCGCTGCCATATCATTAAACAATAGACTCTTTGGAATGCTGTGACATCACATGAACATAACCTTCAAGTCTTATGGAACCATTTATCCACAAAAGGGTTAAGAACAGCATTTTAATCTGCTTAATTCCTCACTAGAAAAGTCTGAATTGCGCGTCATGTACAATAAATCAGTATTAAAATGATTAATCATTCTAAAGTGATGGAAAGTTGTCACATTTATAGACGCAGCATGCACAGAGCTAATTATTCCCTATGGGCAGTAATTAGAAAGCAAAACAGTGCGGAGCCATCAATCAAAGGCTGGCAAGGTTAGTGCTGACCCAGCGCAACTTAGCAGGCTCCGCTTGTCACAGCATCGCCATGTCAACGTCCCATCAGGCCAACTGCCAACCGCACAACATGGCACTAGCAGCCCAGGGCTTATAGTCACAGGAGAACCGCTGAATCATATTTGTGCATTGTTCAGTTCAGATTCCAACACTGACATCATTTGGTAGATGTTTTGGTCATTATTTTACCCATTTCAAACTTGTGTAGGTAGATTCTACAACAAAAAACATGGAATAAGATATAACATGAACAGAAATACAGTTTGGAAAAGGGTTAGACCAGGGGGGTCCAACATTTTCAGTAAGAGGGCCACTTTAGTTCACCAGACTGATCCAGGGGCCGACATTACGGACTGAAAAACTGTCTAGACTGGCATTGGGCTGTTCTGAGTTTTATGATGATCTACAACAGAGCTGAAGTTAGCTGAATGACAAATATTTACCATCTCACTAGCTACAGTATATTAGCATCATTAAGACCACCGCAGTACGTTCTGGGCTTTAGAACAAGGTCTATACTGGCTGAGCTGAAGTTGGATGGATGACACAGTGAACTTTATGATCTCAGACTTCTTTGGGTTAGCAAGGCAGAGGGCCACATAAAATGACACTGAGGGCCACATTTGGCCCCTGGGCCTGAGTTTGGACACGCCTGGGTTAGACAATGCCGAGGCCAATTTGGTTTCAACCCCTCTGACTAATTCGACCCAACAACCAGATAACACTCGCACTGCTCCAAACACTCTCTGACCATATCCTGACACCAACATTTTTTGGTAGATGTTTTGGTCATTGGTGTACATAGATGCTACAAAAAAAAGCATGAACTAAGATGTAAAATAAAACAAAATTACAGTTTGAAAAGGGGTTGGACGAAGCAGACGCAAAATTTGGTTTCATTCCCTCATAAAACTAATACGCAGGTGGCACACCAGTCCAAACATTCTCTGACCATACCCCTCTGCGTCATGCTCACTCCTCCATGTATATTTTTGGGTAATGTTTTCAATGGAATCAGACTTAGATAATCTGTTAACCATAGACGCACCTACTGAGATACACATTCATTTTAAAGTCGTTGTAAATTCAGGCTAATATAATTTATTTCTGTGATTAGGAGGATGCATCAGTTTGATTGAAATAAAAGGGGAAAATCAGGACAAAATCTGCCTTTTTTTCATTTTTCATTTCATTTTCAACCCCTTTGTCCATTTCTGGGTCGGGGGGGTGGCAATGAGAGGTGCCACCCAACGCTCATAGCACCAGTCCCTCGCTGATCTTCTGCAGGGGGTGAGTTCACAGGAAGATGGCTGCTCCGTCAATTGTGAAACAGCCTCGATCTTTCAGCAGGGGGCTTCAGGCAATGTGGGGTGTCTTGCCCAAGGACACAACGACAGCAGTCATCAGTGGGAGCAGTTGGAGTAGGTCCCATGGTGGGAATCGAACTCACAACCTCCAGGCCCAAAGGCCAATGCTGTCGCCCCAAAAAAAATCTGCCTTATTATTCTGTAATGTGAACCAAGCTCTATCCCAGCCAAGCTCAAGATCCATGGATTGACGGGTAGAAAGTTTTATTAGATGTTTGATTAATATCGGGGAAGAAAATGAGATGTATGGATCTTTTTATAGTCACAGATTTGCTAGGACTGTCTTCTTTTTGGCGGAATGCAAATTTCTGGAACTGCTTAACAACTGCTTAACATTTGGTTCCTATGAGGTATGGAAGACCAATACCAAACTGAAACCAAATATTCACTGTACATCTGTGTTTTCTTTGTTTGGTAGAATGTCTTTACTCGTGACCTCTGTATCAGATATAAATTCCACCTCTTTTAGCGTTTATAATCTTAACATTGACTGCATTTGACTTGCCAGCACTGCAAAACCCCTGCTTATCTGATTTTTACTACGGAGTGCACAATCGGATTTTTTGTCTTTCTTCAGGGAGCTACTAAGACTCTTATTTCTTCATCGTTATGTACGCTGCCTCTGCCTTGGTGGTCAGGTATTGGCCTGGGTAGAGCAATTTGCATAAACTCTTCTGTAAAATATGCTCCACTCAGCAGGACCCGACCGGCACATGTGAAAGATTATCAGACGTTGTAACCACAATCACTTCCCATCTCCTACCCCCAGCGGTGCAAGAGAATGCCTATCGGACGAGGTAGTCTGAATCAAGTAAACAGCCAAAACATCCTCACTATCTTGCTTAGTTTGTTTTTAACAGGATGCCTTTCCGATGTTTCCTGTCAGAAAGCTGTTAGGCATTCTTGATTGTACAATATATGTCTGGATTTATTCAAATCTGGAGCGACAGTGGCTCAGTTGGTAGAGCATTGGTCTCTGAGCCTGAAGGTCTTGGGTTCAAGGCCACCACAAGACCTTCTCCACTGACTCCCACTGCTGTCGTTGTGTACTTCGGCAAGACACTTAACCCCACTTTGCCTGAAGCCCCTGCTGAAAGATCAAGGCTATGCTCGCACTGACAGAGCAGCCTCTTGTGGACTCACCACCTGCAGAGGATCAGTGAGGGGCTGGTGCTATGAGACTTGGGTGGCATCTCTGAATGGTCGGCACTAGATCATATACGGAATCGGGACGAAACCGGAAGTAACAATCCTACTTTCGTATTAGTTTTAGACTTTAGTGGTGACTGGTTAAGTTTTAGTTGTCTGAGTAAGATGGTTAAGGTTAGGGTTAAGGCTGGGTTGGGGTTATTTTATGGGAATGGCTGGTTAAGTTTAGGCATGAATAGGTAGTTTGTTATATTTACTTCCGCTTCCGTCCCGATTCCGTATATGATCTAGTGCTGACCCATCACTGATGGGGAAGAAAATGGATGGATGGATATTAAAATCTAGAGGTAAAAAAGACAGAGGAAAGAAAGAGGCTGAAGTTTTTCCTCCAACTAAAAAAATGACAATATTTAAACTGCGACCATCAGAGACAAGAGGGCCTTGGCTCACACATGGTCACTCTGACAGATTGTGTACCCGGTTACAATAACTGATAAGAGACATGTCATGTCAGTGGGGCGGCTGCTGCTGTACATTGCCAAACTGCTGTTGTGTCCTTAGGCAAGACACTTCACTCCAATGAGAATTACTTTGAGTTGCTTGTGTATGAACTGTGCTATACATCCTTGAGAACGGACAATTAGAGACTGAGGTCTTCAGAAAGTCCACTCACACTGACCAGTACCTGGCCTTTGATTCAAATCATCCACTACAACACAAACTCGGGGTCATTAGAACGCTTCAACACCGAGCCCACCAGGTCCCCACGAGCTCTGAGGGAAAGAACAGAGAAACCAAACATGTTCAGAGAGCACTTTCCAGATGTGGCTACCCCAAGTGGTCTTTTACTAAAGCCCAAAGGACGAGAAAGGCCAGAGACACAGTCCAACAGACAGAAGAAAGTAGGAGGAGAGGGGTGTCCTTACCGTATGTGGCGGGAGTTTCAGAGAAACTACAAAGAATCTTTAAGCAACACAAAATCCCTGTGTATTTCAAACCTTTCAACACGTTAAGACAGAAATTAGTGCATCCCAAAGACAAAACACCCAGACACAAACAGAGCAATGTGGTGTATTCAATTAAATGTAGTGAAGAGGAGTGCACTGACCACTATATTGGAGAAACTAAACAAACTCTCGACAGAAACGACTTTACCAACATCGTAGAGAAAACTCTAGTGGGCCACAGTCGGCTGTTCATCTCCACCTCAAGGCCTCCAACCACACGGTGGATGACACAGAGGTTAAAATACTGGCTCGGGAGAAGAATTGGTTTGAGAGAGGGGTGAAAGAAGCCATTTTTATGAGGAAACAAAAACCTTCTCTTAACAGAGGAGGAGGGTTAAGATTTGTTTTGCCTCGCATCTATGACGACATCCTAAAAACAACACCCTAACTTGGGACAAGGTCAGTGACATGCTAATGAGTTAGGGTCGTTAGCCTCAGCAGGGTCGTTAGACCTGCTCCCTTCTACATCAAACAGACCTTAGATTGTTTATGAGTTAGTATCAGGATTAGGGTGTGGCTAACCACACCCATAAGTTATAAATCTCCAACGCGCGGTCTGAGAATTCATTCCCTGAAGAAGTCCTTTGGATTGAGGACAAAACGTAGGAAAAACTTGCTAAGAAGTACAGATGATGGGTGAGAAAACTTCCTTTGCTGTGCTATACATATAAACTTGCCTTGCAGCTATTCTTATACGGCTTACTGCAACTGGCATATAAACTGAATCTCGAATTATACCCTGGATCAATTCAACATTTCTCTTTAACTGTTTGAAAAAAATAAAAAAACACGCACCTCAGCTTTATATATGTTTTGCATTGTCTCGGACCTCACCAGCCCCTTTACACGCCAGGTCCGCTCTCTGGCCGGCCATCACGCGGACGCTCCGTGAAATGCAGTTCCGAGCATCCCGGCCAGTGTCTCTCCCACCATCCCTCCCTCCCAACCTCCCTCTCTCTCTCTCTCTCCCTCTCTCCTCCTCCCGTCCCCAGGAGGAGCATCTATCTGTATATGTGTGTGTGTGTATGTGTGTGCGCGTATGTGCCGTGAACGCGGTCTATAATCTGACTACACGCTGCATGGGGCTGCGCTTGCAAAAAGAAAATCTTCAACGCACAGTTTTTCCCCAGCGCGTCTTTTATGGTGCTCTCGTTGTCTTTTGTCGACACAGATAAAGAGAGCAGGTATATCCAAATCCCGCACTTTCTTTTTTATTGCTTATTTTGCCGCTGTGTCTGATACTTTTGGCAGAAGAAGGTGGATGTGGGGTGCACGTCCAAACTCCGCTTTCATACGATTCTAACGGAATTTGTTTTGGCTTTCTTTTCTCTTTGCAGTTCAAGCCACAAGCTGACCTGTTTTTGGAATAAGTCAAGATAAGCATTGCTGGTTTCTGACTTTGGGGTGGAAGAAAGAATACGGACTCCTCTGGAATTTCCCTGGGAATTTATTCGGAAAGCTCCGGTAAGTGGACATTTATTTTTTATTTTTTCACATATCAGGAAGCTTTGTGATCAATAATGCATGCGCGTATGAGTGCACCATTACCGATAAATGAATAAGTAAGCGGTTCTTATTTTTTTTTTTATTACAGTGACCGAGGTTGTGCGTCTACAGTCCGGCGATATAGTAAGTGCTATACTTTCTTTGCTCTATGGATGAGACTACATGCGGCTGTTGGGAATATTTGGAAGTTGTTTTTTTGCGTGCAGAGATAAATACAGAGCGCGCATATATATCTCTGCATATTCAAGGATGCTGGTGGTTGGTTGGACAAGTCAGTCAGCTGTCCCCTTTGCACCCCAGATGGCAGCGGGCTTCTCATCGTCATCATATCTCACACATGTAACAGTTACAGCACGTACCACGGGCTCCACATTTCGGATCTTTTTTACGCATAAACAGGACGAGGTGACAGTCGTGATAGAGAATGCATTACCGGGGACGATGTGGCAAAGAGAGAGAGAACAGAGAGAGAGAGAAAGAGAGCGGTGGAGGAAAAAAAAAAGTTTTGGGTGGATTTATGGTGATGTTGTTTAGTCCTGGGGCCATCTGGAGGCTGTGTATGTGCCTGTGTGTGTATGTGTGCGTGCAAAAGGCTCAGGTGATTCTGTATGTGTGTGTGTGTGTGTGTGTGTGTGTGTGTGTGTGTGTGTAAGAGGCTCAGGTGATTCTGCATATGTGTGTGTGTGTGTGTGCAATAGGCTCAGGTGATTCTGTATGTGTGTGTGTGTGTGTGTTCCTGTGTATGTGTGTGTTGCTTGTGACGCACCGCTCACCATTATCTGACGAGGCTCTGATGCCAGCTTTGACATGTGATTGACAAGGCTCGGGCGCAAACGCTGCTCTTATTCTTGCTTTGCTTGGCAACTTTGAAACTATAATCCTCCTTTCATTTCACCCGTTGTTTGCCTCTGTTTAAGACTACACTACTGTCAAGTGATCCATGCAGCCAATTAGCTGTGATTTGCAGTCATACTTTGCAGCTTGAGAAGGAGGGGGGAGAAGAGAGAGTAAAAAAAAAGTTGTTATATAGCTTTAAGCAGCTGGATAATGAAGTGGAAAGTTTGCCAGTGTTTTGCAGCCACAGCCCATGCAGCCACGGAGAATCACAAATGAGGGCAAGGACAGCAGCTCGCCTCAGATTGGTGTGAGATGTCTGTATGCGCCTGTGTGTGCGAATGCTGGGGACTACAGAGTGGAGTGACAGAAGGCTAAGTGTGCGTGACCATCCAGGAGCGGTAATAACATTATGCTTTGCCAGTCATGGGCCCGTGCAGATAGACTATACTGTTGCATTGCAAAAAAAACCCCTTAATGGACAACGGGAAGCAGTGATAAGAGGCCACTTTAATAAAGCCCGAACATGAGCTCTTTTATCTAAAGGTCACCTGTCTTTGTGGACCTGCTGGGATCCGCTCTGCTGTAGAGACGGGTAAACCTGGACTGAGACCATATTTTATAATAACTAAAGGTTTTTTTTTTGATCATCTTCGCTTTGATAATGTGTTAATCATTGCTGCAAAGGTTCATTGGAGTTGTGAAAAATCCTGTTATGCAATGCAAGAAGGAAAAAAGAAAAACAAATGTTTCATACAAATGTTTGAAAATGATCTAAACAAGAAGGAGATACATGGAGTTTGCCAGGTGCATTTCATTCTCCTATCAAAGACCTTTAACTCTCACTTGTCCTCTGGTTTTGTGGCTACGTTATCGATGGACAATAGTGAAAAATATATATATATGGTATACAGTTTGACTATAAACACATGTATATTAACTGTAAAATGATTTGCCTTTCTTGTATTATCTATGAATTCCCACTTTATGAACATTATCTGTATCTGCGGCTACAATGGCATCACATTTACCAGTGAAAAGTCCAGCAATTATAACACTTCAATCTCTTATTTATGGTTTCCTGTTAAGCCAATTATCAACTATATGGACTGTAGTATGAGGCTTCCCCTTTCTCAAACCGTCAGCACACAAAAAAATGCAGCCTGTCTTCTTTAAAACGGGTCTTCCTATTCCGAGATGCAACGTATTAACCGGACAAGTTGGTGCACACCTTCCAAGGATTAGTTCCTAGAAAAAAAAAAAAAGTGTATCCCAACCCCTAATTTCCAGCACGCAGCCACCGTCCCATAAATTCATCCTTTTTCTGAGGGTGAATCTTCCAAAACCACTGTCCACAGCGCATCAGTCACCGCTGCTGGATACAATTTGTGCAGCAGTTGGAGGTAAGCTGTGGAAAGACGTCGGCAGAATGGCTTGATCGCGCACAGAGCCAGTCTCTGTGATGTCACATGTCTGCGCCATTAGGGAGGAAAAACTCTCAACTTCACTCTTACTGCAATTGTTAATGTTTTGTTGTTGTCTGTCTATTTGCAATGTTGGCTTTGATCGGTGCTATTTTTGGTTTAATATTGGTTCACTATTTATCAGAGATTTTGGTTGCAGCTTTTCTACTGTGTGTGTTTGTGCGTGTGTGTGTTTTACCCTAGAAATATAGCTAGTGTTTTGTGACACCAAACTGTTAAAAGTGGTAACACATTGCTGGTGTGTACGTATTTGACTTAAAGGTCATGGCCCTCCCAAATAAATCCAACCTGCAGGAACAAAAAGACTTCCTGCAGACGAGTAAACTGGATTGTAAAATTCTTGGCCACTTTTTCATGTACAACCACAAACTTAAACCGTTTTGTTGTGAAATATGTATTTGTCAGTTGTTTTGCCCCTCTCTGTAACTATGCATCATGGAGTACTTGGAGCAAGACAAAGAATCTCACAATTGGAAAAAAAAAAATAGTGTGTCCATTTGAACATGGACGGTGACATTGTCCGGATGGAAAGATGCCTAGTTACAGCCAATAGCACCAGTTTACAAGCCCTCCTTTGGCAGGTTGGTGTTCCAAACTGAAGCTAAGTTTAGTTTTATAATCATTAAGTGACTATAGGAATGTGTAGATCCAATAGTCATTACATACAGTACCTTTGAATCAGAACTTTTTTAACGTTAATTATTCCATACATTGACCCATAACTATAAAGGAAGTCTGTCAACAACACAACCACCAGGCGTTGTAGAAACACATTAAGTACAATTTGACATGCTAATAATATTTTAACATTGTATATGCGGTGTTATAAAGTGATCCACCCACCATACTTCTGCGCCTGCATCTCAACTCTGCGAAAAGGAAGAGAGCTGTAATAAAACCGATTCAGGTGACATAATCAGGGCACGGCTGAGATAGTCTGCCATTACAGCAGCTAAGGATTTCAGCTGTACACAGATACGCTGGGATCGCAGGGACAGAAGTGCATTGAGTTGTTTCTCCAATAAGTAGAGTAAGATAAATGGTATACATTCCATGTTGCAACCCTTTTGTTAATATTGTATCTTAGCCAACACAAATAGAGATTGTTGTTTCAATGGACTAATACCGCCGCCTAAACTAGGGTTGCAAAATACTGTAAATCATAATTGGATGGAAATCCCAAAAAAGACACAATTAGCGAATTGCACGGACTGCAATTGTTTAAATCCGATTTGCGAACAATAAGGCTTTTTATAGGGACATTTACTTTTGTGAAACCATTTATTTGACAAGCTACCGGTTTGAACATGTACCCAGAAGACTCGTTAAAATGGAAAAATATTAGGTGTCATGCATGCTTTGAAATGTTTATTTTTCAGTCCTCACTAGAGAGTGGGAGGTCTTACATGCTGAGAATACGATTCAGACATACATTGTAGATATAGTTATAATTGTTTACAGAATGGTGCAGATCCTATAATCAAACTTCTAAGCTACAACCTCAAAAGAAAGATTAAAATCATATGATGTAAATGTCTTAATCATGAAAATAATATTCAGAAATAGCCACAGTAAATTAACAATAGTGAAGGTAGAGTCCTTCAGTTGTATGCACAGCTGAAGAGAGCTGTTTTTAACCTGGATTTGAACATTGTCAGAGAAGAAGCGTGTTTGGTATCCTCAGGAGGACTCTGGGCACCAGCAGGAGGCCAGTCCCTGTGTCTCCAAAAGGCTATTTTTCGAATGGCACGTATCTGTTCTTGCAAATTAACACTGGAACTGTCAGTCAATTTGACAGCTAGTAGTTTTGGAAGTGTATTTCTTCAGATCCTGTACCTATTTCAGTTATGTTAACCACCTTTTAGCACTTACGTCAAAGTGAGTAAAGATAAAGTATATACATTACTTATAGTATACATTACAGAATCCCATTGATTCCAAGCCGTCAAAATGACTGTTTAGGGAGTTCTAGTGTCCTGAATCCTGGGAGTCCTTGTGTTAACTGGGGGCTGATGGTCCGGTGTGTTCGGCGACTCGCTTCCGTCATCACCGTGTGTGGATTGATTGGAACAATATCTGAACTCTGAACATTGTAAAGCGCTTTGGGTGACCTTGGTCTGTAAAATGCGCTCTATATAAATATACATTACTTACTTAACTATTCATATTACATTGCACCTCAGAGTTCGGATGCTTGTGAGAATATTTGGTTCCTTTCTCCGATTCAGCCGAGCCATGTTGTCCTGGTGTTGAGCTACTGTATGTGGAGCACCTTGATAGTGGTCCAGGCTTGTGAACGCCGAGCAGCCCACTCCCAGGGGCCGCTTTATAATGAGGATGAGCTGTCACGTAATTAGGTACACCTGGCACTGGTGTTTTCAGGAAAGTTCAATTCATCCTAAAATAAAACGCCTCTCGCCTGCCAACATTAGCAAAATATAAATAAATAAACCATTGTCACGTTCCTCCCTCACAGTCAGCTGGATGAGAGCATGTTTGCAATATTATCATTCTGCACTCATTATTATCACACATTTTGAACATTGATATGAAGAATAACACTCCCGTACTGAAATATTTTAGTGATTTGATGTTATATTCTATTATTACAATATATGATTATATATCTTACTTTTGTATAACTGGTTTTCCCAGATACCAAAGAAAATTCCTTAGCCATGCATATGATTCTAATTCTCTGATTCTGATTATTCCTCAAAGCCATGAAAGCTCTGCTCACACATGTACGACAGATAAGGAAAGAGACATAACAAGACAAAGACAACTAAACATGTCTTTAACACGTGTGAGTGACTCTAAAACAACGACATTGTTTGGACATTGTTTGGACATTAATTGTTTCATTGTTTGGACTTGAGTTAAAAGGTCAAGTTTATAAACCATATATTTATTATAGTCCCTTCCCTTTGCATATTCAGAGATTTGTCATTGAGGGTTTTGGGTTCAACCATTTAAAACCGATATAATTGGGCTTATCCTTAAAAACATATATTTGAATTCATTTTGTCCATTTGAGGGATTAGCATGGCCAGGTCAGAGCTTTCAACCAGAAATAATCCAATTAAGAAACATTTCGTCCAACAAGGTTCATTTGGTCTTCAGATTCTACAAGTTACTTCATTAAAGCAGGGGTACCTAATATTTCGCTTCATAAATGAAACTTATGTTTAGTCCCAAAACAATAATTAAAGGTATATAGGAGGATTTTCCCACATTTTAGGAAAGAACCGCCCTCTCCACTTTTTGAACCAAACTCTCTGGTTTTATTTGACGAGCACGTATCACCAGAATGATTGGGACGACCAATAATCTTTGATGATACATCCGGAAATAGAAAATCCTCTTATATACCTTTAAACAGTTTTGATCAAACACATCGTATTAGAAAAAATGTCTTTGCACACCTGTAAGAACGATTCCTGTGTGTCGCGTTTTGATGCTTTGGGCTGAGAACTGAATGAGAGCGGGCCTCACTCTTTCACATTTGTCTGAAAAATTCCGACCTTAAAGATGTGACGGGGACCAACAATGCATTCACGTGAAAACTAGTGATGGAACCCAACTTTTTAGAAAGATAGATGGATTTTTTTGTATTGTTGCTATTGAATGTTAGCAATACAAACTATTTATTTTTAAACTACCGAAGGCCTTTTGGAACAATAACAAAACTAAACCTAGACAATACTCTGTCCCCAATGTATAACTGGAACTCACTTGACACAGGGCTACTTTGATATCTTACTGTACTATCCCATCCTTAATCTCTGGCTTTCTTTAAAAATAATTCCGTGGTTGCAGGTGGCGCTGTTGCATACAAACAGGGCAAAATGTTTTCATCATCAAAAAAACTACAAGTGATTCT